GCTTCCTGAAGTTTAGCCACCAGCAAAAGAATCGGTGTTCCGAGAACCCAGACGTCGTCGTTGACATACACTGTACGCGGGCCCGAAAGTGACTCATTTTATAACCTTTCAGAGCAACGCTGGCCACGCGCTTGGCACTGCAAACGGTGCAGAGAGCAATCAAGGACACTGACGTCGATCTGCACCGACAGGGCATCGACTGCGGCGTGTCGCGACCAGATCAACGCAACCACTGCAACAACACCCACCCACCCCACAACGGCCAAAAGGTGCCGCAACAATCGATGCCACGGTACCACCTTTGCTGCAACTGCGCAGCGTGTACTGTAGCACGCACCCCATCAACCGATCGCAGCCATCGAAGCAACGCGTTTGGATATGATGTCTTCAAGCGTATCTTTGGCCCTGCGGAGGGTGTCGCGAGCATCCAGGTGCGCCATATTCGTGTACCGGTACGAGCTACTGGCATGGCTGTGATGACATGGGATCAACTATTCACGGATCGCGTAACACGAGGCGCCTATCAAAGCGCAATGGCGCCATTTCCGGCTCTAAGTCGCTCGTTCGTGGCAAGATCAAGCAGGCACAAGTCGATCCGTTGCGTTCGTATGTGACCGGTCGGAGTAGACGAATCGTCGCAGGTGTAGACGATGTAAAACCTGTTTGTGCGCACGTGCCTCGCAAGCGTCTCTGGTGGTTATTATAAGAGGCTGGCGTAATAGCAACGGATGTGATCGACTCTGTACCCAACGCGACCGCGCTTTTATACGAAGAGCGCAGTTTATAGTTGATTCACGCAAACACCTTCTGTAGACATGTATGTATGATGCTCAATCAGGGTTGAAATCGCCGTGGCACTTGCAGTGTTGCAGCCCACTGGTTGCAGCCTGGTGTTTCAGTCGTCGGGCTAATTATGCGACCCTCTCTCTCTCATCTCTCGCCCTCGTACCGAGATGGTGCTAGCAACAATGACGATGCCAATTCCTGCAACCGTGGACCCCTTTGCGATGCAACGGACCTCGATCAAGAGCACACCGGACCAAAGGTATTCAGCGGAGTTAGACTCGAGTCGACCGTTTCACACTGGATCAATTTCGCGTGAATTGATTGGCACAAAGAATTGATTGGTATCTGTCAAGATGCTTCTAGTGTAATTGAAGTACGGAAACCTACCCCTTGCAGCCGCGAAGACCTCGTCTCATCTTCGAGCGGGATCCCACAGGACACGTGGCCTTCTCTGCGTGTTTTCTCACTGATGCCTACCGGTACAACTATTCATCGACACCATCCCTCGATATAATAGTTGGTTGTGTGTTTCAACGCATGGACAGTCCAGCCGTACTACTTTACTGTGGGGCTGGTCGTGGCAAGTCTGGGGCGTCCTATATAAGCCATCAGCAAAGCCTTTTGACTAAGCCAGCATGGCTGCGACGTTGCTACAGGAAGAGCGTACCGGTACTAAACAAGACTTACAGTAAGAGCAGCAGCGATCTCGGAACGGTTCAATCATTCGTAAGCTGATGGCGCGTGCCGTGGCAGCCGTGGCGCGACAGGAATCAAGTTCTGTCGCACGAACTCGAATGGGGCCACTTTGTCCGAGCTCGTCGAAAGGCGAGTCCAGGAATCGAAGCGAACAAATAGAATCTATTAGTGCAAAGGAGCTGGAAACCTGTCACTCCTGGGACGGCAGTAAGCGGCACGAAGTGCCACTCATTTACCATCGCTAGGACCACGCACATTGCTCTAGCGGATCCGACAGCATCCTCATACCGGTATGCCGGTACCCGTATCGGTGAAGCACATTAAAGTTAAACAAACACTCCTTCATTTTACGCTGGTGCTTTAACGTTAGAGGGGAATTAATGAACGCGTGTCTAAAGTCGTTTAAACTCTGAACTTTGTTGAGGTTCTCAAGTTTTCAGCGTACTAGTACACTGTTACTGGATTTGCACGAGTATTATTAGGGTTATTAAAATTAACCTCATGCTTATTCATGCAGGCTGGGGTTGCCAACGATGAAGCCATGACACCCAGACTTGTTTCGCCTCTTGCATCGACCGCTTGAATTGGCAGATACTAGTCTGATGCTGCCTTTGAGAAGAGTGACGCATACTTGTTACTCCTTAAACCACGGCGACGACCATATACACACGCGAAGACTATACCAGACCCCACGGTGGTCGGCTCGTGCATGGAGTCACTCCATTCCACGCACCAAAGGTTTCGTAGCAAGTAGAACTCATTGCCTGAAGTACGTGCTACATGTATTTTAGTACAATCCAAATGCATATAAACGTAAACGTGTTTTACGTTATCGTCTTGCTGCTAGGACCTTGCATACGTAGAGACTAGCCATCTCCATCTCCCATCGTTCGCCGAATCGTGCAGGTGGGAGTGCAGGGCTCTCAGTGTAGTCGCCTGGGGGCACTTGTGAGATCCATGACGACGCGCCCGCGATGTTCCTCCAAGCGTCTTGATCTTGAGTAAATCTACACAGTCTTGGGGATGCCAGCGTCTGCGTCGGTGGTTGTGGCCGGAGATCGCAACTCGTCTACTATTTCATTTGCCACTTGGAGGGATACTGGCAATCGCAATCGTCCAAAGATACTGGTACTTCAATGGAGAGGGTATTGCCAGCATGTTCGCACGATAAAATAGAACAAAGGCCTAACTCTCTATTACTAGTATTGTACACGGATTCTTAGATAACCGCCAAGTTCTCTACGTCAGAATCTTTATCAGCATGAGGCAGTCCTCGTACGCCAGTGGGTCTGCCTTCGAGCAGTTCGTTGCGTAAAAGGGCAGCGGCTCCAGTGTCATGTTGGCCCACGGAGACTTGACGTCGTCGCCCGAGTCTGAGTCCGAGGCGGGGTCTGCGGCTGGCTCTTGCCCTGCTCTAAGCTCTTGGCGTGGCGTTTGCGGCGCGCGTAAAACTTTTGCACGTTGTTGGCTTTTCGGCGGTGGTACTCACAGAGTTTGTGCATCTGCCGTTCTTCTTGGCCGAACGCGTGTTGGGGCA